AAATTAGAAAGAAATTAATTGGACAACTAAAAATACATAGAAAAAATTAGCCAGGCATGGTGGCGCATGCCTGTAGTCCCAGCTACTCGGGAGGATTGCCTGAGCCCAGGAGTTTGAGGTTGCTGTGAGCTAGGCTGACACCACGGCACTCTAGACCGGGCAACACAGTGAGACTCTGTCTCAAAAAAAAAAAAAACCTGCCAGACGCCCCCAGAGTCGGCCCTGTGCTGCTCTGACGTCCCTTGGGCTGCTACAGGGCCGCCACCTCACAGCTCTGGAAAGTTCTGCCTGCCCTGCTGCCCTGCCTGCCTTTGTTCCTGGGAGAGGCAGAGCTGGCCTGGAGCAGGGTGGGGGGGCCGTGGCGAGGGGCCGGCTGGGCTGAGGGGGCGACAGGGTTGTCGGGATTTGGGGACAGCCTGTGGCCCTGGGACGTGGCTGCCCACACCTGGCCACCCCTGGCCACGCCTTCCCGCTGTGCCGCCTGGTTGCGCCTCCCCTAACGCCTGCGTCTGAGCTACGGGGAGGCCCTGCCCGGCCTGGCACCGGTTGCCGGCGCCTTCTCCGCTGTCGTCTGGCTCAGTCCTGCGACGACGTAGCGAGGGAGAGGGTGTTTCGTCCCCGTGTTCGGACCGGGGAAACCGAGGCACGGGGAGGCAGCAGGGGGTCTCCTTAAGGTCAGGAGTCCAGGCGGGGGCAGAACTGGGGGTGGATCTCGGCGCTGAGAGGCGGGAGGGGCCGGTGGGGGGGGTGCGCGGCGGCCCCCTGACGCCACGTCTGGCCGCAGCGTTCGCGGAGCTACAGACGGACATCCACGAGCTGACCAATGACCTGGATGGCGCCGGGATCCCGTTTTTGGACTACCGGACGTACGCCATGCGGGTGCTGTTCCCCGGCATCGAGGACCACCCCGTGCTCAAGGAGATGGAGGTAGCGATGCCCCCGGGGCGGGTCACAGGTGCTCGGAGGCGGCCACGGCCTCCCGCCTTCCGGGCTTCCTGGGTGCTGCTGGGCAGCCCCGTGGCGCGTGGCAGCCGGGCAGCCCTGGGGGACGGGACCGGCCGAGCGGGGAGGGTGCCGGCGGGCAGGGCTGGGGCCGGGACCGGCCGGCGGGACTCTGGGGTGCCCGGCTGGAGTCTGACGTAGCCGTTCGGGGTGGGACGCACGGCTGGCGTAGTACGGGCGCCCTCGGAGAGCTGGGCTTTGCCCCGCCGGTGTTGGCAGGGAGCCCCGTCACACTCTCTGGCCACGGCGGCGAGCACCGTCCCCACACAGCGGGTACCACGAGGCCACTGTGCCACGCGGCTGTGCTGGCGGGAAGTCCCTCTTGCCTGGAAACCGATGGGCCTTGCTGCCTCTCTGCCCGGGGCCCCGCTGGGCACCGCCTTCTCTCTCACTGCGATTGCCGGCTGCCGGGGGGAGGGCTCCACGCTCCCCCCCCCAGATCCCCCTCCTGCTGTCTGCACGTGCCAGGCCTGTGTGGGTTCTGCCCAGGCCGCCACCTATCTGCCCGGTACCTGCTGGCCTGTGGGCACAGCCCGTGGGAACCTCTTGCCCTGACAAGCCTTGCTATGGACAAGATTGCGAGCAGGGGTCCTGGAGCCAGCCGTACCTGCACCCCTTGTCCGACTTCCACGCTGTGTGGCCCTGACCACAGCGGGTGGGGGTGGCAGCTTCCACGTCACGTCTGTCCTACCGAGGAGGACGGTGGAGTCCCCGTGGCTGGGGAGGTCGGGGCCACCGTCCCCTGCTTTCGAGGCCTGCCCTGCATCCCCGCCCCTCGGGGACCCCCCTCGCCGAGCCGGCCGCGTGCCCCGCAGGTGCAGGCCAACGTGGAGAAGTCGCTGACGCTGTTCGGGCAGCTGCTGACCAAGAAGCACTTCCTGCTGACCTTCATCCGCACCCTGGAGGCCCAGCGCAGCTTCTCCATGCGCGACCGCGGCAACGTGGCCTCGCTCATCATGACGGCGCTGCAGGGCGAGATGGAGTACGCCACGGGCGTGCTCAAGCAGCTGCTGTCCGACCTCATCGAGAAGAACCTGGAGAGCAAGAACCACCCCAAGCTGCTGCTGCGGAGGTGAGCGTGGGGGCGGGGCTTGGG